TTTATTATACAAAGTTTAGCTGAGTTCAGCAGAGAAAAACAAATTTAACTGTCTATAGGAAAATGAACAAAAGAATGAGTAGCAGGCTGGCGACTGAAATTGGTAGGCTTTCTCTTAATTCCAAAACGATAGATCTGAGGGTGCGAAGACTGAAACATGTGTCGAACTACGTGCCGAGAATGGAGGAGTTGATTGGTCAAAGTCGAAGCTAAGAACCCTGAATGGGGGAAAAAGGGCTTATGTAGTAGCCTTAACCCGTTCGGAGAGGGGCTTTATCTCAGACTTTCTTTTGTGCCCGTCATACCAGCCGTGCCAGCTGCCGTCTGACATCAGTAAAAAGGCCATCATTGCAACAATTACAGTATCACGCCTTAAAGCTTCACTTTCATACAAAGGGTGATTAACTGATGAATGCATACAAGGCTTTTGTGAAGAAAGGAAAGAGCCATACGGTTTGATTTTGATTACAGATGAAGGAAAGCGAAAGGAAGATCAACGATTAATATTTAATACTTTATAGCTCATGCTGCCGGTCCAATTTATTTGAAAAATAATTATACTTCTTCGGCTTCTTAATTTGCTGCATCACTATAATTTTGCTTGAAGCACTGTCAAAAGCGTCACATAAAAAAGCAAATTGCATGGTACGGTTACGATTTTTCTACGAAAGGGAGAGCATAAATGAAACATTTCCTGCAATCATACGCTCGGATACAGACTTACATTCCATCTCCAGATGAGGACGAGGTGCCCAACAAAAGGTCAGCATTTGCGCGATAGATTCCAAGACTCCACTGGCACGTTCCTGTGAAATAACGCTCCGAAAGTTGCTGTTGCTACTTTGTAGTAGAATGCTGCTGCTGTTGCTGCTACTGGTGCTACTGCTGCTATTTCTGCTACTGCTGCTACTGCTGTTGCTGCTGCAGTGGTAAAATATGAAAGCAACATGGGTTTGGGTTCATCAGTAATAATTAAAGAACTAAGTTAAATGAATCAAATTTCACCGGGCTGTAAAACGCTTAAAAAGTGTTGGGGAAGTAAAAGGATAAACAACTGAACAATTAAGAGAGAAGAGGTTGACGATAAAACGTCCGGGAAGCCGAGGTGCAAATTTGCCAAAGATGTGTGCACGAGGTACTCATCAAAACTGATAGAGGGATGCGTATGAAAACAAAGAACCCTCGAAAGACACACCTTCGGATGCTTTTTATTTCCATTGGATCTGATTGCGAAATTAATGAGAAAATATTGGAAAATACTGGCAGAAACTGAACTATCTAGAAAACCTTAAAAGCACTCCATTTGTGATGACACTCCATCTCGCTGCAAGATGCGCATCCGACATCCGTTGCGATTTCTGTAATTGATGTTAGTACCATTTTTATGTGTTTTTGCATGTACGCAAATTGCAACCAGGTTGGAAAGCACCAGGTGGGCCGGTACGATTATGCTTTTTTGCATTTTTCGTGCCGTAGCAAGATCACAATGAATCAAAGTAG